TATCTTTTTACTTTATTTCTCTCATGCATCATACAATGTAGAGATAAAACCTGAAATCATAAATACAAGGAACATTTATATTAATTAGCTGACTAAACATGAAACTTAATGAAAACATATCACTCAGTATTATCCACAATGTATACTTCCAGACCACTCGGCATTAGTCTCAGCAGAGAATAGACAAGACGCTAAGTGTAAATACAGTATATACTTCCAGACCACTCAGCATTATCTGCAATAAAACAAATATTAAACATTTTTCTTCAGCATCAGTACACTTATCATGACACCCACTTCAATCAGGGCAGGAATGACAGACGTAAGCCCAAATATCCACCAATAAAGCCTGCAGTCCCAAGAATCTACCACCATATATGCTAAGCTGACTGAAGCTCCACAATGGCAGGCAATAGCTGGAATCAAGTTAAGGAAATTATGCAATCTCCTAATGCCCTGTTAATAAATATATGTTAAAGATAGAATAAGAATAAAACAGGAGCGATATTAAATCTCTACAGCATTTTCTAACAGAATAAACATATTTTTAAAAATATGTAATTTTTTTTATCATAATCATATATATACATCTAACTATCATTATCAATATTATTATTGCTATTTTTATTAGTTTCATTGCATTTATTATTATTATAACTATCATCATTACTATTACTATTATCATATTTTATTATACATTATTATTATTATTACTATCATTATTGTTATCATCATTATTATCATTATCATTATAATTTCATTTTATATTATCATATTATTTCTTTATTATTATTATATTATCAATGTCTTTATCATAATTATCATATTATATATATATATATATATATATAATATATATATATATATATACATAACATAATTATTTTTATCTTTTTTATTAACATTCTTAACATCATTATCATCAGTATCATCATCATCATCATCTTTATTATCATCATCAGTATCATTATCATTATCATTATCATAAGAGAGAGGAGTACCAACAGCAGTTTTTTTTATTATTGTCAATAATGGTAGGAATACTGTGACACATTATGTGAGTGAATGCTTTTGTAAATTATCAAACATAATGCATTTTAATATATTCCAAATTTCCATACACCAAAGTCAAAGGGAGACATTGTGGCTAAATTCAATATATTTCTGAGCTTAGATTTTTGCCAAATTGCATAAATCCTATGAAACATGAAACAAAGGTGCCAAGAGAGTGTGAGGCTTAATGTAATGCATACTTTGATGTAATTTTTTCTGCTTTTTTTTCTGGAAGCAAGCAGGTTCAAAAGTCATGGAAAAGTAGACATCATCGTAGTTTGCAACTAGATAAACTAATCTGTACTGATAGTATGCAATACAACACATATGATTTTTACTGTAGTTTTGTCTTGCAAAATATTTACATATATATGACTTCACAAGTGCACAACCATCAAGGAGTCCATTAATAGAACTTTGTTACCTCACCTGGGGCAGTATTCACAAAAGGTCTATGACTTTTCTTTGCGATTTTGTCTCTCATTTGCACTATTGCCACATCTCAGAGTTAATGCTGGTAATAGAGATAACATGTAGATCCTTATAGATTCTATTTTGATAATCTATTTTAATAAAAAGGTATGGTAAATATGGCAATAAATCTTATTGACAGTACAACAATAATATTACACATTTAGTATATTTGTGTGATGTGGCATACCTGTGTTCATTGTCATTGCATCAATCGTAAAGGTGGGTAATGTTACTTGTGTTTTTTTATATAATACAGCAAGAAAAACATAGGAGAAGGCTCAATTACTATTTGATAATTCATCAAAAGAGGAAAATTTGCCTAAAAACAAATTTAAGACCATTCTTATGCATAAGGACAAAATTAAAGACAGTCCTTCCATTTTTTAATAGAATAGCTATAAAATATAAGAAACGACTAAATCAGCACTTTACAATCAACCAAAAAGGGTCTTCCAAGGTTTTTATATTCTATTCAATGAAGAGTTATCTTAAAATTTGTCAATGATTCAGTCAAGGTTTTAGGACTGGTGTAGAAGTGTCCCACACGCATAAGGACTGTCTTTAAAACTACAATACAGATTTACTCAAGTTTGAAGATAATTCTGCATTGAATAGGATAGAAAACAACTTGGAAGACCCTATTGATTGATTGTCAAATGTTAATTTATTTGTTTCTTCTATATTATGGCTATTTTCTATTCGCAAACGTAAGGGCTGTTTTTAATTTTGTCCTTACACATAAAGACAAAATTCTCACATATTGAAGATTATTCCATTTTAGAAATAATGGGAAAATGTTTATTAAGCTGTCTCCTACATTTATACTGCTGCCACACACACACACACACACACACACACACACACACACACACACACACACACACACACACACACAAATAGTATCTCCCACCTTTACAACTGATGCAATGACAATAAACACAGGTATGTCACATCACATTTAATTTTACTAAATGTGCAATATTACCACTGTGATATCAGTAAGCATTATTGCCAAATTTTCTAAACCTTATTATTACAATAGATTATTAAAATCAGAGTCTATAGCGATTTACATGTTATTTCTATAACTTCGGGATGTGGCAACAGTGCAAATCAGAGACAAAATCACAAAAAAGTCATAGACCTTTCATGAATACCGCCCAGAGTTTTACCGTTCCTTGCGTTTTTGGGATTTTATTTTTTTTTATTATAATATTATTTTATTATTATTATTTTATTATTATTATTATTATTATTATATTATTTATTATTATTATTTTTTTTATTTTTTTTTTTTTGACAAATAACATCAATATTGATGGTGTTATTATCATCATTATGGAAATCATAATTTTCATGACGTTATTATTTTAATATCATTAATGATATAAATGAAAATATTACAAAAAAAAAGGAAAGGGGTATTCAGGTGAGATATATAGTACTAATATCTGGCTCATTAATGATTCAGTACTTCTGGCACCATCTAAGTGTAAATACAATTAATAAATAAAACTCACAGTGGAAATGGCTTGTACATACATATCATCCCCTGTAGCAGGAACAGGAGCCTCCAGGAACATCATTGCAACACTCATTTGGGTTGTGACAACTATGATTGTTCCAAATTGGGACCCACTGGTCTAAAACATTTGGCATATATCTGTGTGTATGGGGGGGGGGTGAGTGCATGAGTACATGAGCGTCTTGGTTTGAAAAGAAAAAGAAAAAAGAAAGAAAAAAAAACATTCCTATACATAATTCACTCAATTTCATTCTTCCTTCAGTTTTTAACATATAAGTAGTTTCAAAGAATTAGATATAATGTTAAGGGCCCATCCCAGGGGGGTGAAGGTCAAATTGAGTTAGCTAGCATATAGTATAGGTAAATGGATGAGGCCAAACAAGTATTAAAGCTTAACGGACAATGGATTAGCACTTGGGAGGTATGTCGCACCTATGTGGACTTTTGCTTGTGCATACGGCATTTGTATTGCGCATAGATATGAGTCCAGGAACCCACTGGTCTAAAACATTTGGCATATATCTGTGTGTATGGGGGGGGGGGTGAGTGCATGAGTACATGAGCGTCTTGGTTGAAAAGAAAAAGAAAAAGAAAAAGAAAGAAAGAAAAAAAAAAACATTCCTATACATAATTCACCTCAATTTCATTCTTCCTTCAGTTTTAACATATAAGTAGTTTCAAAGAATTAGATATAATGTTAAGGGGCCCATCCCAGATAGGGGGGGTGAAGGAGGTCAAATTGAGTTAGCTAGCATATAGTATAGGTAAATGGATGAGGAAACTACCAAACAAGTATTAAAGCCTAGCTGTGGCTGGTTCACGGACAATGGATGCTAGACCCACTAAACACTAATGAGCGCACCCATACGGTTGATTATGACATTGCGCAGGAATATTATATCTGGAAAAAAAAAAAAAAAAAAAAAGTTTTGTGTCCTTTTACACACAAAATATGCTTCCACTGAGACCCCTTAATAATATGTTGTACCTTATGAAGTGATCTGTATGTATATCGAGTACGAAGCACTAATAATTAAAAATAGCAAAATTAGTAAGGATTGAAATGTTTCTGTTAGGCTTTACTCAACAGTTGGTACATCACAGCATCGCAAAATTTGATTTGATAAAGGGCAATTCAATATGAAGGGTACCTAAAAGTCAGATTTATGAACTTCGGATATATAAGTGAGATACTGATTATTTCATATTGAAGATGATAGTACACAGTAATACCCAATCTAAAATAAAAATTATATGGAATTTTGAGTTCGTTTCTGTGTGCAGTCTTCATCTAGAGTTGAAAAAGCTACCGCATTTGTTTTGTGTGTTTCCAATAAAAAATATTACGTTTATATGTTACCATAGGTCTTAGGTACCATAAATACACAAATATCCAACCACACCTTGGCATCTGCATGATTTTATGCACTTCTCAGAAAAGATAATGGGTGCAAATAACTAAATACCAACTCTGCACTCATTCCTCTTTGCAACCAGTTAATATTGACAATTATCAAAGAAAACAGTTTGATAGGAACAACTAATATATTTTATTCCCTTACATATAGAAGTCAATGTAGGCCTGCTAAATGAGGATGATCAAATTTTAAAACTCTATGTGCATGTCTTTACATACGGATGATTCTCGAAAATCATAAACCCCCAGTGATCATGCCCCCCCTTATGTGGAGCATGGAAAAAATTCAACTACTTCGGTAATTCTTGAATCCCATGTACGAAATTCGTATGCTTTTAAAATTCTGAAAATTGAACTGCCATGTTGTATTTATGGTAGGACTTTATAACTAGGATGATTTTGTACTGATATATCCATCCACAGTTCTCCAATTCTTCAAAACTGAAGTATAAAGTATAGAAAAAAAAAGTGTTTATCTGGTTTAGATTGGTTGTCTTTATGGTAAAATGCATTTATTAAACTTTTCAGTAGAAAATATCTACTTTTATAAACACCAAACAAACAAAAAAATTACATACCTTTACAGAATAGCGTCCTTATTGAAAATGAAAATTCCTATTGACTTAGTAATCATCGCATCGCAAAGCACACTAAATAAGCTTTTTTTTATACATAACATCATTAGATTCAGAGGAAAATAACAGTGATAACGAACTTTGACAAGTTGCCAAAATATAAAACTTCATATCTCCGTTCTTTGTTTACATGACCTTTGGTATATCCTAACTCTCATAATTTCCGTGCGATTCAAATGCAGTTTGTTAATTTCACTAGAGCATGGGAGCCCTGAGGCTGTGTAAATGGCTGATTTTTAAATTTTTGCCTTAATCAAAAAATATGATTTTTTTTTAAAGCTGTAAAAAGGGACCAAAAAGAGTACTCTATGTCATGCAGACCCCCCCCAAAAAAAAAATCGACCATTTACACAGCCTCAGGCTAGGGTTGATCTAACACAAATACTTTTGGGGGATTATTCACAGTAAAGGACTGTGGTAGTTAGGATGTATGGAAAACAAAGGGAAAAAAAAAAAAAGATTTTTTTTTTTTTTTTTTATTATTATTATTTTTTTACTTTTTTGGGGATGCCCCCCTATGGAGAAACGAGGTTAAAATTATATATGAAACGAAGTGTAATTCTATACTCTATATTATGCAAAAAGAGTCAATCAGTTACCTCTGACCAGTATTTTTTTATGATGCAATGTAGTAGGGAAAGGTCGTCATTTGCCAGGACGGTCTCCTTAATTCAAACACAAATAAAAGAATTTTGCAAATAAATAATCAAAAACTCTTTTCAAAGGATACATATCAGGGATGCAAGGCCTGTGAACATTGAAACGCCTGTCATAAATCCTATGATCTCAATAGCTGTCAGTCCAACGCCAGCAATCAAACCACCAAGAAATCTGAAAGAAAAAATAGAATAAGTACTCAAATGGAATCATTTGGAAAAAAAAAAAAAAAAAAAAAAAAAAAAAAAAAAAAAAAAAAAATAAAAAAAATCACAAATAACAAAATAAAAACAACTCTAGAGAGCCAGATGAATATGAAAATAACTGGTAAATAAGGGAAAGGCAGAGGGATCATATAGCTGAAGGGAACTTCACAAAATTGAGAATGAATGTTGGAAACTTGAGGTACCTTTCAACTTTTATTTAAAAGTGTTCTTCATGATGATAGGAGACAATTTCATATGTATTATACAGTTACTACCTCTTACTACAAGTAGCTGAGGGGCACTTCACAAAACTGAAAATGAATGTTGGAGACTTGAAGTACCCTTCAACTTTGATTTTACAGTTTTCTTTTTGGATGATAGGAGACATTTTCATATGTATTATACAGTTACTATCTCTTGGTACAAGAACACAATTCAATGTCAATCTGCACTTTGGTCCTACACCAGAGACTCAGCATGAAAAGTACTGAATGTTAAAATTGGTCAAAAACAATCACCAGTACTCTATCTTGCTGATAAAGAACTAGTTTTGTTAATATATATAATATAATCCTGAAGATACTTTGCAAAACAACAGTCCTTGAATGATCTATAAGAGTACAATGGACAGCCTATGTAACCCATTAAAGATCAACCAACTGGAGAACTGAGAGAATCAAATCAGAGACATGGCATACTGCTTTAGTCTGCTCTAATCCCTTGCTTGTTGTTGTCATGGGAGGCATAGAAGACGGACACTGGTGCCCATGTAGGACCTACCTTGGACCTCAACACTTGCCTCAACTAAATTTGCATGGTCTTTTCTTCTCCCCCTTTCCTTCTTTTATTCATCCCCTTCTTCTGTGCACATAAATGTGAAAGCCATGCTGAAAGAATGAAAGGCTGGCTTTGTGTCAGTCCTGAATGGCCTTCATACTCCATTTGCTCTACCCTTTTTGCCCTTTTCACAACCATACTAACCTACAGCACTCTACAACCTCTGACATCTAACATATTTTGACCACAGTATTTTATCATAATGCTGTATGATCTTTCCTTAGCTGAGAACTTTGCCGCAAAGCCTCAGCCTAACGCAATATTTTGAAAATATTGATTAAATATTGACTTTAGATGTTGATATAGCAAAATTTTTTCAACAAATAAATACTGTTTGGTCAACTCAATCACATCTTTACCTACTGATATGAAAAGAATAGCCTACAACCACAGGATGGTCAACCAGTTGTGTGTGTGTGTGAGTGTGTGTGAGTGTGTGTGTGTGTGAGTGTGTGTGTGTGTGTGTGTGTGTGTGTGAGTGTGTGTGTGAGTGTGTGTGTGTGGAGTGTGTGTGTGTTGGAGTGTGTGTGTGTTTGTGTGTGTGTGTGTGTGTGTGTGTGTGTGTGTGTGTGTGTGTGTGTGTGTGTGTGTGTGTGTGTGTGTGTGTGTGTGTGTGTGTGTGAGTGTGAGAGTGAGTGAGTGAGTGAGTGAGTGAGTGAGTGAGTGAGTGAGTGAGTGAGTGAGTGAGTATGTGTG